TAGACTATACACTAGACAATAGACTAGACTATAGACTAGACTAGACTATAGACTGGACTATAGACTAGACTATAGACTAGACTATAGACTAGACTATAGACTAGACTATAGACTAGACTATAGACTAGACTATAGACTAGACTATAGACTGGACTATAGACTAGACTACAATATAGGCTAGACTAGACTATGGACTGGACTGTAGACTAGACAATAGACTAGAATAGACTATAGACTCGACTATAGACTAAACTATAGACTAGACTATAGACTTGACTATAGACTAGACTATAGACTAGACTATAGACCAGACTATAGACTAGACTATAGACTAGACTATAGACTAGACTATAGACTAGACTATAGACTAGACTATAGACTAGACTATAGACTAGACTATAGACTAGACTATAGACTAGACTATAGACTAGACTATAGAGTAGACTAGACTATAGACTAGACTTTGGACTAGACTTTAGACTAGATTTATACTAGATTATGGAATAGACTATAGACTAGATTATAGATTACACTATTGTTTAGATTATTGACTATATACTGTATACAAGACTTCAGACAGGTCTGTTGTCGAAACTTTATAATAGACACTAAAGAGTGATATTAGGCGAGACTTTAGACCACACTTACTAAACCCCAGATTAGCTGCACTCCAGACTAGAATGTAGTCGAGAATATAGGCTATTAACTAGACTTTAGACTATAGTCGACTTTATAGACTAGACGAGTCAAGAGATGGGTTATTCAGAGAATTTTCGTTCAGTGTCTAGTATTATTATTATTCATTATTGATTCCTATCCCACTAGTCGTAGCAGTTGCAGTGTTTCTTTCTTATCAATCAAGCAACAAGAAATTATTTACATATTTGTAAACAATCAAACAAACTACACATTATTTTAATTTCCATTATAAATTAAATAGTATCAACTAAATAATTTAGTTTGTTTTCGATAATTTAAAGCAATAAACTCAAAGACTTTTTCAAAGATATGAGAAGCAGCAAAAATGTGTATGTAAGCAGTTATAACACCAAGATAAGCAAGTCTGGGGCAATTTGGGTTACTTGGTTGTAAATTAAAAAACAATAATTACTACATAAAATAGATAACTACATATTTTAGATTTTTATAAAACTGTAAATTTAATGTTTAGAAAATTGTTCGGCAACCACTTCCAAATAACCTCACTTCCTTGCCCACCTTTAATTATATATTCTATAGGCATTCTTTTGTGATTTACCTTATTTTTAATTTCCCAGTAATTTCTATATTTAAATAAAACATGTGTGTAATACTTGTTTTTTTTTTTTCTTTACTTTGTGTCCACTCACTTGTTAACTGTCAGGTTCTTTTATTTTCCATATAATCAAGCATTTCCTGTTTATAACAGAAAATATGTGCACTAGACTAGCATACGCTAATGTTGCTAGGGCTGTAGAAGTAGTTAGAGAAGACAGGGGGCCCGATTTGTGAAAATATGTTTTGTTAATGAAAATTAAAACTGGGTGTTTTGTGTTGTATTTATACCAAGCTCGTTTTACTCTTTGGACAATAGAAACATTATTAAGTTTCCATATGTGCAGTTAATTGGGCTTGTGGTATGCACTATTCTTTTACTCTTTTTATATGGAAATTGCAAAAAAAAAAGATGACAAAACTTGTTTGGTTCATGCAAATTTGAGTCATGTCAAATTTTCATTTCATTGTGAAAGTAGTGGTTTACAATTTCAAATAAACTAAACTGATAACTACACTATAGACCTGACTATAGACTAGACAACACACTAGATTATAGACTAGACTAAAGAACAAACTATAGACTAGACTAAAGACAAAATTATAGACTAGACTATAGTCTAGACTATAGATTAGATTATAGACTACACTATAGACTAGATTATAGACTTCACTAAAGACTAGACTATAGGCTAGACTAAATACTAGACTATAGACTAGATTAAAGAATATACTAAAGACTAGACTATAGACTAGACTAAAGACAAGACTATAGAGTAGACTACAGACTAGACTACAAACTTGACTATAAACTAGACTATAGACTAGACTATAGACTAGACTATAAACTAGACTATAGACTAGACTATAGACTAGACTATAGACTAGACTATAGACTAGACTATAGACTAGACTATAGACTAGACTATAGACTAGACTATATACTAGACTATAAACTAGACTATAAACTATAAACTAGACTATAGACTAGACTCTAGTCTATAGACTAGACTATATACTAGACTATAAACTAGACTATATACTATAAACTAGACTATAGACTATAAACTAGACTATAAACTAGACTATAAACTAGACTATAGACTAGACTATAGTCTGGACTATAGACTAGACTATAGTCTGGACTATAGACTAGACTATAGTCTGGACTATAGACTAGACTAAGACTAGCCTATAAACTAGACTATAGACTAGACTAAAGACTAGACTATAGACTAGACTAGACTAGACTATAGACTAGACTATAGACTAGACTAGACTATAGACTAGACTATAGACTAGACTATAGACTAGACTAGACTAGACTAGACTAGACTATAGACTAGACTATAGACTAGACTATAGACTAGACTATAGACTAGACTATAGACTAGACTATAGACTAGACTATAGACTAGACTATAGACTAGACTATAGACTAGACTATAGACTAGACTATAGACTAGACTATAGACTAGACTATAGACTAGACTATAGACTAGACTATAGACTAGACTATAGACTAGACTATAGACTAGTCTATAGACTAGACTATAGACTAGACTATAGACTAGACTATAGACTAGTCTATAGACTAGACTATAGACTAGTCTATAGACTAGACTATATACTAGAATATAGACTAGACTATAGACTAGACTATAGACTAGTCTATAGTCTATAGTCTATAGACTAGACTATAGACTAGACTAAAGACAAGACTATAGAGTAGACTACAGACTAGACTAAAGACTTGACTATAAACTAGACTATAGACTAGACTATAGACTAGACTATAAACTAGACTATAGACTAGACTATAAACTAGACTATAGACTAGAATATAGACTAGACTATAGACTAGACTATAGACTAGACAATATAGAATATAGACTAGATTATAGACTAGATTATAGACTTGACTATAGACTAGACTATAGACTAGGCTATAGACTGGACTATAGACTAGACTATAGACTAGACTATAGACTAGACTATAGACTAGACTATAGACTAGACTATAGACTAGACTATAGACTAGACTATAGACTAGACTATAGACTAGACTATAGACTAGACTATAGACTAGACTATAGACTAGACTATAGACTAGACTATAGACTAGACTATAGACTAGACTATAGACTAGACTATAGACTAGACTATAGACTAGACTATAGACTAGACTATAGACTAGACTATAGACTAAACTATAGACTAGACTATAGACTAGACTATAGACTAGACTATAGACTAGACTATAGACTAGACTATAGACTAGACTATAGACTATAGACTAGACTATAGACTAGACTATAGACTAGACTATAGACTAGACTATAGACTAGACTATAGACTAGACTATAGACTAGACTATAGACTAGACTATAGACTAGACTATAGACTAGACTATAGACTAGACTATAGACTAGACTATAGACTAGACTATAGACTAGACTATAGACTAGACTATAGACTAGACTATAGACTAGACTATAGACCTAGACTATAGACTAGACTATAGACTAGACTATAGACTAGACTATAGACTAGACTATAGACTAGACTATAGACTAGACTATAGACTAGACTATAGACTAGACTATAGACTAGACTATAGACTAGACTATAGACTAGACTATAGACTAGACTATAGACTAGACTATAGACTAGACTATAGACTAGACTATAGACTAGACTATAGACTAGACTATAGACTAGACTATAGACTAGACTATAGACTAGACTATAGACTAGACTATAGACTAGACTATAGACTAGACTATAGACTAGACTATAGACTAGACTAGACTAGACTATAGACTAGACTATAGACTAGACTATAGACTAGACTATAGACTAGGACTATAGACTAGGCTATAGACTAGGCTATAGACTAGGCTATAGACTAGGCTATAGACTAGGCTATAGACTAGGCTATAGACTAGGCTATAGACTAGGCTATAGACTAGGCTATAGACTAGGCTATAGACTAGGCTATAGACTAGGCTATAGACTAGGCTATAGACTAGGCTATAGACTAGGCTATAGACTAGGCTATAGACTAGGCTATAGACTAGGCTATAGACTAGGCTATAGACTAGGCTATAGACTAGGCTATAGACTAGGCTATAGACTAGGCTATAGACTAGGCTATAGACTAGGCTATAGACTAGGCTATAGACTAGGCTATAGACTAGGCTATAGACTAGACTATAGACTAGACTATAGACTAGACTATAGACTAGACTATAGACTAGACTAATAGACTAGACTATAGACTAGACTATAGACTAGACTATAGACTAGACTATAGACTAGACTATAGACCAGACTATAGACTAGACTATAGACTAGACTATAGACTAGACTATAGACTAGACTATAGACTAGACTATAGACTAGACTATAGACTAGACTATAGACTAGACTATAGACTAGACTATAGACTAGACTATAGACTAGGCTATAGACTAGGCTATAGACTAGGCTATAGACTAGGCTATAGACTAGGCTATAGACTAGGCTATAGACTAGGCTATAGACTAGGCTATAGACTAGGCTATAGACTAGGCTATAGACTAGGCTATAGACTGGCTATAGACTAGGCTATAGACTAGACTATAGACTAGACTATAGAATAAATCAAATATTCGCCAGACATAAAATTTTTTTCTAAAAATTTAAATTTTACCTTTAAAATTCGATATTGATTAAAAATTTCAATATTTTCTCTTCAATTACAGTTGGAACACCGTAAAAGCTATGTCAACGAAATTGAGGAACGTTTCCGTATGAAGATTTTCAATGAAAATCGCCATAAAATTGCCAAACACAATCAATTATATGCTCAAGGCAAAGTATCCTACAAGCTGGGCTTGAACAAATATGCCGATATGTTGAATCATGAATTCAGAGAAACCATGAATGGTTACAACAACACATTGCGTAACTTATTGCGGTAAGTCGGAAAGAGAATAACAAATTAAATACAAAAAAATAATAATAAAAACTTCTTTTTTTCAATTACACAGTTCTCAATCTGGTTTAGTGGGTTCCACTTTCATTACCCCCGCTCATGTAACTGTACCCAAGTCGGTAGATTGGCGTCAACATGGTGCCGTTACTGGTGTTAAGGATCAGGGTCATTGTGGTTCTTGCTGGGCCTTCTCCACCACTGGTGCCTTGGAGGGTCAACATTTCCGCAAAACTGGCGTTTTGGTTTCGTTGAGTGAACAGAATTTGGTTGATTGTTCCACCAAGTATGGCAACAATGGTTGCAATGGTGGCTTAATGGACAATGCCTTCCGTTATATTAAGGATAATGGTGGTATTGATACCGAAAAATCGTATCCTTATGAGGGTATTGACGATTCTTGCCACTTCAATAAGGCCACCGTTGGTGCCACCGATACCGGTTTCATTGATATACCCCAAGGTAATGAAGAGAAAATGATGCAAGCTGTTGCCACTTTGGGTCCCGTCTCCGTAGCCATCGATGCTTCCCACGAATCTTTCCAATTGTATAGTGAAGGTGTTTACGATGAACCCGAATGTGATGCTGAAAACTTGGATCATGGTGTTTTGGTTGTAGGCTATGGTACCGATGAAAATGGCATGGACTACTGGTTGGTTAAGAACTCTTGGGGCACCACCTGGGGTCAAGATGGCTACATTAAAATGGCTCGTAATAAGGACAACCAATGTGGTATTGCTACTGCCTCTAGTTATCCTACAGTTTAAAAAGAATTTTTCTTTTTTAATTCATTTTAATTAATTTTTCATTTATTTAATCAAATTTATCACTTTGCTTTTTCAATTACAACTTTGTATTCATTTTAAATTCTGCTTAAATTTATACTTTTTTTCACTTTTAAATTTAATTTATGTAATTAATTTCTATATATGTCTTTTAGTTCTTTTTTTATATATATAATTAAATAAAAGCTTTACTAAGTTTTAAAAGACATTGAAAAAGTAAAACAAAGAAAAATATTTTTTTCTAGAATTAATAATACATTTTGTAAATGAATTATTTTTCTTTTTAAACTAACGTTTTTGTATATGTATGTTTTATCTTTATGTGTGTGTGTATATGTAAATTTTTAAAGAATTCATTAATTTCAACAGATAATTTAAAGTTTTAACACTTTTCCATTTCTTAAATTTGAACACCAACTACAAACATCACATATACAAAAGGATTTAAAACCATGAAACTGAAAACTCAAATCCGAAACGATGTCATATTATAATTTTAATTTAAACAAAATATGTATAGAACAATAAAAGTGTAAAGAACAATAAAATTATAAAAAAAATATAAATAAATATTTTGTTTTTATTAAGTTCTTTTATGGGTCTTTGCAGAAAGTGGATAAGATCAGTAACAAATAAACCCTTAGATCTTCTATTAAGGAAATCACGTCGTATAAATTTTTACTATTTAATAATTTCCTATATATACAGGCCTTCCTTGTTCCTGTTAAGGCCAAGTTTTGCTTTAGTAGACTACAGAATAGGTTGTAGAATATGCTCTAGATTCAACTGTAGACTAGACTATATGATACATCATTGATTAGACTAAATACTACACAATAAATTACACTATAGACTATTATATATTATCGACTATATAAACCAGACTATAGATCAAACCACAAAATTGACTAGACAAGATTATAACTAAGAATAAACTTAGGTCAAGAACATAGATTACACTGTAGACCAGACTATAGGATTATAGGTTATTGACTAGAATATAGTCTAGGCTAAATAATAGATTATAGTCTGGACTGTAGAACAGACTATACCGTGACTATAGTTGGACTATGGACTACACTATGGACAAAAATACATACTAGACTAAAATGAATATATGTAGTCTTAAGTCGAGCCTAGTCTATAGTCTAGATTAGAATCTGGAATATAGTAAATAATATAGTATATAGTCTAGTCTTTACTTTAATCTGAAGTCTACTATATAGTCCTGCCTACAATCTATTCTAGTGTGTAGTCTAGTCTATAGTCTATCAGTTCTATAGTCTAGTCATCAGTTCTATAGTATAGTCTATAGTTCAGTATTTAGTCTATTCTTTAAGATCTCTATCATCTAGTCTATATTCTAGTCTATTGTCTATAATCTAGTCTTTAGTATAGTATATTATCTAGTCTTTAGTATAGTCTATTATCTAGTCTATAATCTAGTCTATAATCTAGCCTTTAATTCAGTATTTAGTCTAGTCTATAGTCCAGTCTATAGTCTAGTCTATAGTCCAGTCTATAGTCTAGTCTATAGTCCAGTCTATAGTCTAGTCTATAGTCCAGTCTATAGTCTAGTCTACAGTTTAGTCTATAATCTAGTCTATAGACTAGTATATAGTCTAGTCTAGACTAGTCTTCAGTCTATAGTCTAGGCTATAGTTTAGTATATAGTTTAGTATATTGTCTAGTATGTAGTCTATTCTAGTCTAGTCTATAGTTTACTATAGTCTAGTCTATAGTTTACTATAGTCTAGTCTATAGTCTAGTCTATAGTTTAGTCTATAGTCTAGTCTATAGTCTAGTCTAGTCTATAGTCTAGTCTATAGTCTAGTCTATAGTCTAGTCTATAGTCTAGTCTATAGTCTAGTCTATAGTCTAGTCTATAGTCTAGTCTATAGTCTAGTCTTAGTCTAGTCTATAGTCTAGTCTATAGTCTAGTCTATAGTATAGTCTATAGTCTAGTCTATAGTCTAGTCTATAGTCTAGTTTATAGTCTAGTCTATAGTCTAGTATAGTCTTGTCTATAGTCTAGTCTATAGTCTAGTCTATAGTCTAGTCTATAGTCTAGTCTATAGTCTAGTCTATAGTCTAGTCTATAGTCTAGTCTATAGTCTAGTCTATAGTCTTGTCTATAGTCTAGTCTATAGTCTAGTCTATAGTCTAGTCTATAGTTTAGTCTATAATCTAGTCTATAATCTAGTCTATGGTCTAGTCTAGTCTATAGACTAGTCTGAAGTCGAATCTATAATCTTGTCTATAATTTAGTCTAGACTATAGCCTAGTCTAGTCTATAATCTAGTCTATAGTCTAGACTATAGTCTAGTCTATAGTCTAGTCTATAATCAAGTCTATAGTCTAGTCTATTATCTAGTCTATAGTCTAGACTATAGTCTAGTCTATTGTCTAGTCTATTGTCTAGTTTATAGTCAAGTCTATAGTGTAGTCTATAGTCTAGTCTGTAGGCTAATATATAGTCTAGTCTATAGACTAATTTGTAGCCTAGTATACTGTCTAGTCTATAGTTTAGTCTATAATCTTGTCTATAGACTAGTCGATGGTCTAGTATGTAGTCTTGTCTATAGACTAATATATAGTCTAGTCTATAGTCTAATCTATAATCTAGTCGTTAGTATAGTCTATTCTTCAGTTTAGTCTTTAATCTAGTTTATAGTCTAGTCTTCAGTCTAGTTTTTAATTTGGTCTATAGTCTAGTCATTAGTCTAGTATTCAGTCTAGTCTATAGTCTAGTCTATAATCTAGTCAATAGTCTAGTATAAATTCTAGTCTATGGTCTAGTCTTTGGTCTAGTCTATACTAATCTATAGTCTAGTCTATATTCTAGTCATAGATTTTAATTTTTACAAAAAAATAACGTTTTTTTTCGAAATTAACAAAATTATTTTTCTTTTAAATATTACTAAAAAAACTTCTTTTCTTTTGGTGATTTGCTAAAAAAAATTTATTTTGTAATCATAAAATACTAATTAGTTTGCTATAGTTTTTTTTTTTATTAAAAAATAAATATTATTTATTTAATTAACACGAATATTATTAATAATTTACTAACTGACAAATTCGTATACATATAATATTACGCTATTTTAATATTGCAAATAGTTGTAAGTATTTAAGATTAATTTTGAAAAAAAAAATAATAATTTTTACAGTTAAAATTTCAAAGAAATTTTGTTACAAAATTACTTTAACAATAAGAAAAATAAAAACTTACACAAAATTTTGTTTTAATTTTAATGTTTAAAACAAAATTAACAATTAACAGTCTTGGTTTTTTATTTAATTTTTAAATTTTTCTTTAAATAAATATATAAATTAGTTAAAAAATTTAACGATTTTATTTAAATAATAAAAATTTACTATAATAGGTAGGTGGTGTTTTTTTTTTTGGGGGAAATAAAAAACATGTCTTTTGTTGCAGTTGTAATTTAAAGTAAAAGTTTTCTTTAGGGATTCAAGTCCAGGGCAAATTATTGCTAAATAGTAAGGTGCCCACTATAACATAAACGGCAAACCAAACAAATATCAAACCCGCCTTGGATTTCAATTTTAATTTATCTAAAGATTTGGGCATATAATCGGCAGCAAACCAATATAAAGTGGGAGTAGCTGAACACAGCAAACGTGTAGAAATTTGTATGTGAACAAAGAATATACAAAATAAAGTTAAAAACGAGGAGTGTAAGATAAAAGGTAAAGTTTTATATTCTTTTATAAGGTGAGCCAGAGGATATTTGGTTATAAATTTCATAATAAAATGTCTTAAGTAAACAAAACAATGCCAGCTTAGGAAAGAGAGTATGGGAAAAGCTAATAAGAAATTCGGCAGCTGTTTGAATTCGTAATATTTTAAAAAACCTACCTGCCAGTAGTGAGACTGTATATAAGAATAGGGAAAGGGTAGAATGTTATCACACCAGGGCGAATTTTGCTGTAAACGTTGGCCGGCCAACACAAATTGCTTTTCTCGAGCATATGATAAAACCGCCTGGGTATGATTTACTGGATTGTCGAAATAACAATATTGACGAAAAGCAAAGAAATTGAAAAAAGTCCAGGGTATTAAAGCCACCAACAAACAAGCTAATAACTTAAAACAGGTGGCCAAGAAATGGGTTTGTTTTAAAATGCATTTACGCACTAAAAAGTAAACAGGAAAACCAAAGTTTACCAAACCATTAGATCTGGCCACAATATTTAAAGCCAAGGCCAAAGAGGAACGTACAAAACGTATTTCCAGACAACACTCCAGCATTATGTAGAAAGTTAATAAACAAAATAAAGATTCCGAATAGGCCGCCGAGAAGAATATAGAGGCAGGATTAAAACAAAACAATAAAACCACATTCCAGCTTTTGTTTAAATCATTAAAAATACGCTGTGTCAGCACATACAAAATATTGGCCGCCTTACAAAATAGCACAACATTCAGCAAAACCGCCATTAGCAGACAACAGCTGCGCATGCACATAAAATCTTCCATAAGATAATGTAACATTTTGGCCAACATTTCCACTATCACCGGATAGAGAGGATAAAAAGCTAATGTGTTTTCATAGCTATAACCATATTCGGCTATGTGAAGAAAATATTCACCATCCCAATGACGTAAACCGCCCAAAGTAAAATCAATAGATTTATCCAGCCAAGAGCGTTTGATGTTGCCATCTAAGGGAGCACGAAAAACATCATTTTTATGATCCGGTAAAGCAGTATTTGTTACCAATTGTAAGACCACTACAATCACACGACTGGCCAAAGCCAATTTAGTAACTTTCTCCGACATCTTTGCCCTCACTTGGATGACAAAAGTGGGGCACTAGACAAGCTGTAAACAGAAAAACGTAAACATTTTGTTAAATACTTATACAAACTAAGCAACTATAACTATTGTAAAACTAAAAGAATAGCTTACTAAGGTGTTAACAAAGCTTCCCCATCACCTATGTAACTCTATAACCAAGGAAAGCTAGAACCCAAATTGCTTTACCTTTAAACTATAATCTACAACTTTATCAAATTATAATCTTCAACTTCACTATACACACACTCTCTTAGTTATCCCTTAACAACAAATATTTAAAAATTCTTAACCAAAAACACACAAAAATACTACAAAAACTAACATTCTTAACAGCTGCCGGAAATAGAAAACCCCACATAGACAAATTCACATGATATCACTAGTACACAATGTACCTATTACTCAATTTTTGCACTAAAACTAGTAAAATACTAACAAAAATCTAAAACTAATTATTTGCTTAGTTTGATCATAATATTATTGTCAATAATACATAATGTCAAAACTCCCATATACTCCATTTTATTATTATTGGGGTTATGTTTATTTACTTACGTGTTAATTGCGTTAAATCCCTTATAAGTTACCGCAATCAATTTTTGTTAAATTTTTAAATAATATTGGAAAAAAGTTGTTCTTAACCAATCAAAATAGTTTTTTACTCTACCGGTGCTAAATTTTTTGTTTATTTTTTGTATGACAACAGCTGTTTGGTATAATCTATTTCATCAAGCTTTTATATATAACAAGCATATTTAAGGAATTATCATAAAGTTTAGCTTTTATATATAACATAAAAAGAGTACCAGATGTAGTTTAAGCAAATAATGTTTTTTGTTATAAAACGTTGTAAATCGTACTTATATGTTATAAACTCTATAGATTTATAATAATTTTCTTTAAAATACTTACTTAATTGTTAGATTTTTAATAAGTTTCCTTTAAAATACCCCCTTTTAAAATAAGTAACGGACAAATTTTTATTCCAACCTCATCATCTGGCAACCAAAACTAACTAATATAACAGAAAAGTGCTGCCAAGTTCACCCTTTTTTCCCTAACAAACAACAGCTGTTCGCGCTTTTTCCTAAAACAGTTTTTCATTTTAACAGCAAAACGACTAGCGTAATAGTGTTTAAAAAATAGAAAAAATTGTGAATAAAATGTTAATTACTTTAAGATTAATAACACAAAATACACATTACAAACTCTGCAATATAGAAACAGCAAAAAAATGTGTTTTAAAACCTACAACAAAGCGATTTTTAACAACTTCCTCCAAGTTACTGGCAACCAGTGCGGCTAAGCCACAAACTACCCAATTGGAAATAAATGGACAATCATACCCGGCCGATAATTGGTCAAATGTTACGCCAAAAATCTTATCCTATATGGGTTTAAACAAACACTTGCAAAAGGATCATCCTTTGTCCATAATCAGACAACGTATTGTGAATTACTTCTATCAGGCTTATAAGACATCACGTGGAAATCCTTTATTTTCTGTGTACGATAAATTGAATCCGGTGGTTACGGTGCAGCAGAACTTTGACAATTTATTGATTCCCGCTGACCATGTTAGTCGCAACAAGTCCGATTGTTATTATATAAATAGCCAGCATTTGCTAAGGGCCCACACTACCGCGCATCAAGTGGATTTGATATCCTCGGGTTTGGATAATTTTTTGGTGGTTGGAGAAGTCTATCGTAGAGATGAGATTGATAGTACTCATTATCCAGTATTCCATCAATTGGATGCTGTTCGCTTAGTGACCAAAGATAAGTTATTTGAACGTACTCCAGAATTGGAAATATTTGAAAAAGATTGGCGTTTATCTAGCGGCAATAAGGCTCAAATCATACACTCCTCCTCTAAGTGTATAGATCAATCCAAACAACCCTGCCATACCTTAGAGGCTGTCAAACTAATGGAACATGAATTGAAACAGGTTTTATTGGGTCTAGCTCAAGATTTGTTTGGTTCGAAAATTAAATATCGCTGGGTTGATACCTATTTCCCCTTTACGCAACCTTCTTGGGAATTGGAAATCTATTATAAAGACAACTGGTTGGAGGTATTGGGTTGTGGCATTATGAGGCATGAGATTTTGCAGCAATCGGGAGCTCAAAATTCTATTGGTTATGCTTTTGGTTTGGGCCTCGAACGCTTGGCTATGGTTTTGTTTGATATACCCGATATACGTCTATTCTGGTCTAATGATTCGGGATTTTTGTCGCAATTTAGTGAAAAAGACTTACATAAATTGGCGAAGTATAAACCTGTCTCACAATATCCTCAATGTAAAAATGATTTATCCTTCTGGCTGCCTCAGGGAGTAGATATAGAAAATGGTTTTGTAGCCAATGATTTTTATGATCTAGTAAGATCAGTAGCGGGTGATGTAGTAGAACAGGTAAATTAAATATAAATTTTTTAAAATATATTTTAATTATTATTAAAATTAAATTTCAGATAAGTTTAGTGGACAAATTTAAACATCCTAAAAAAGGATTAACCAGTGTTTGCTTCCGCATAGTCTATCGTCATATGGAACGTACTCTTACTCAAGCCGAAGTTAATAAAATACACAAACGTATAGCTGATGCCTGTGTGGAGCAATTTAAGGTACAGATACGTTAAGTTGTAGTTAGTTTGTTGTATGTGATAAAATTTTCTTAAGTCATTTGAGAACAAGTGTTTGAAACAAACGAGTTTTTGTTATAAAGTCGAAAAAGTGTTAAGTTTTATTGATGAGAAAAGAAAAAAAAGCTTTGAAATTTTTTGTGGAAATGATAAAAAAGTGTACGTTTTGTGTGTTACCAACAAAAAAGTTAAATATTTAAAAAAAAAACTGCATATTTATTAGTCAGCATTGACAACCAATTACACTGGCCGACAAAATTTAACACTCATACCTATAAAAGAGTGTGTGTTTATAATGCTGTTAACCAGTATTATCCTTCAACTTAACAGTCTATTATTTAGACTGTTTTAACGGGTCAATCTCTTATTGTTTTCAATAAATGAACATACCTGACAAGTTTTTATATAAAACGAACAAAACTTTTCACTTGACGTTTACTAATTTTTTGTACAAAAATAATTTATATTAGAATCAATGTTCTCTTTATTATTGGATTATATTAATCGAATTTGTCAAGAATTTTAGTCCAAATTTTGACTCCATTTTTTAAATTTTGAGATTGTTTCCCCGCAGTTCTGACGAACTGAATAACTCAGACTTGTTTCTAGTAATCTAAAATAGTAATTGAACACGATTTCTCTATTTCATAAAAATAGATCAAAATATTTCATAATTTCATCACCGAAATTCTTTCGAAATCTGTTGATTTCCCAAATCATTCCAATAGAAGATTTGGCTTCCCATAATATATTTTCTCCCAAATACTTCCTCTCTTTGTTCAGGAGTTTTATAAACACTTTCAGTTAATTAACTAACAATTCCTTAGCACTTATGACAGCTAAGTCAAATATATTCTGTACCCTTTTTTCAAATAATTTTTAATCAATTATCCAGCCAAACTTTAAAACTGCAACTTTAAGTTATTTATTTTCTTTTATTTTTTTCCCAAACTGACCTCTTTGTGTTTTTCTTTAATAATCCCCATTGACCAAAAAAAAGAACTCTAAACAAATTGTGTTGTTTTCCTGAAAATAAAGAAAATAGTATAAAAAAACTAACTCTATTTGTTATAAATCATTTCCCTTGATAACTCTTGAAAAAATGCTTTAAAACTAAACAAAAAAACCAGAGTACATAGAATAAACCCCCAGATAAGTTCTGAGAAATGTTGTATCTTAAACACACTCACACACTTATACACTCAACTACTGTAAGTGTTTCAACTTTTGCTATTAATGCTAGGAAATAAAAAAAGAAAACCTTAAAACCAAACATTTAAGCACACAATCTTATGGCACTTACACAAACCAATGACCAATAGAATAGATAGAATAGGATCCTTAAAAAATTGTGACCCTCTATAGTGTGCAGCACATACACTTACAGACATACAAATTCTCTACTACAATTTCTCTACTAAACGAAAGAAAAAAAAAAAAAAAAATAGTAAAATTCATTACAAGCCCCTTGCTGTATTTAGTAGCTTGGTTGTTTTGTGACCAAATGGCAAATGTAAAGGGAAATAACTACTTGAAGCATACAGAGTACTGTGTACTACTTAATTACCAATGCCAAGTACTTATACAATAGTATGTTTGTATAAGTAACTAATACAATAAGGTTTTTCGGTACTTTGCCTTTTTCCCCATTTAAATTAAACGGATTTACTTTGTTGCGCGTCTATGCATTCGTTAATGACAATTACTTTTTTTATATTGTACATTATGGTCTTTTGTTTTATGGCCTTTATGTTGTGCTGACTGTAATAATAACGCCTTGTAAATGCTAGCTAGTAATGGCAAATAGTAGATATGTAGTAAGTGTTAAGATTATACTTCTTATAATAATTAAGTACCTGGCATTAAAATAAGAGAAAAATCAAATCTTCACCAAGTGTTAGGACCATGAATGGTTAGATAAAAGATAAATTATTCAGATTTAACAGTTTTATCACGTTTTGTGGCGGGATTACTCAAGAGAAATTAAGCGAATTAAAATACAAAGTTTAAATTATTTTACAAAGTAATTTAAATTTGTTTAATTTGTGTATTCCATTATATACTTTATTCTATAGACTAGTCTGTATTCTATTCTATAGATTAGTCTGTAGTCTATTCTATAGAGTAGTCTGTAGTATATTCTATAGACTAGTCTGTGATCTTTTCTATAGACTAGTCTGTAGTCTATTCAATAGAGTAGCCTGTAGTCTATTCAATAGAGTAGTCTGTAGCCTATTCAAAAGACTAGTATGTAGTTTATTCTATAGACTAGTCTGTAGTCTATTCTATAGACTAGTCTGTAGTCTATTCTATAGACTAGTCTGTAGTCTATTCTATAGAATAGTCTGTAGTCTATTCTTTTGTTTTATGGCCTTTATGTTGTGCTGACTGTAATAATAACGCCTTGTAAATGCTAGCTAGTAATGGCAAATAGTAGATATGTAGTAAGTGTTAAGATTATACTTCTTATAATAATTAAGTACCTGGCATTAAAATAAGAGAAAAATCAAATCTTCACCAAGTGTTAGGACCATGAATGGTTAGATAAAAGATAAATTATTCAGATTTAACAGTTTTATCACGTTTTGTGGCGGGATTACTCAAGAGAAATTAAGCGAATTAAAATACAAAGTTTAAATTATTTTACAAAGTAATTTAAATTTGTTTCCTTTGTGTATTCCATTATATACTTTATTCTATAGACTAGTCTGTAGTCTATTCTATAGAGTAGTCTGTAGTCTATTCTGTAGAGTAGTCTGTAGTATATTCTATAGAGTAGTCTGTAGTATATTCTATAGAGTAGTCTGTAGTATATTCTATAGACTAGTATGTAGTCTATTCTATAGACTAGTCTGTGATCTTTTCTATAGACTAGTCTGTAGTATATTCTATAGAGTAGTCTGTAGTATATTCTATAGACTAGTATGTAGTCTATTCTATAGACTAGTCTGTGATCTTTTCTATAGACTAGTCTGTAGTCTATTCAATAGAGTAGTCTGTAGTCTATTCAATAGAGTAGTCTGTAGCCTATTCAAAAGACTAGTATGCAGTTTATTCTATAGACTAGTCTGTAGTCTATTCTATAGAATAGTCTGTAGTCTATTCTACAGACTAGTCTGTAGTCTATTCTATAGACTAGTCTGTAGTCTATTCTATAGACTAGTATGTAGTCTATTCTATAGACTAGTCTGTAGTCTATTCTATAGACTAGTCTGTAGTCTATTCTATAGACTAGTCTGTAGTCTATTCTATAGACTAGTCTGTAGTCTATTCTATAGACTAGTCTGTAGTCTATTCTATAGTCTAGTCTATAGTCTAGTCTGTAGTTTAGTCTATAGTCTAGTCTATAGTCTAGTATAGTCTAGTCTAGTCTGTAGTCTAGTCTAGTCTAGTCTATAGTCTAGTCTATAGTCTAGTCTATAGTCTAGTCTATAGTCTAGTCTATAGTCTAGTCTATAGTCTAGTCTATAGTCTAGTCTATAGTCTAGTCTATAGTCTAGTCTATAGTCTAGTCTATAGTCTAGTCTATAGTCTAGTCTATAGTCTAGTCTATAGTCTAGTCTATAGTCTAGTCTATAGTCTAGTCTATAGTCTAGTCTATAGTCTAGTCTATAGTCTAGTCTATAGTCTAGTCTATAGTCTAGTCTATAGTCTAGTCTATAATCTAGTCTATAGTCTAGTCTATAGTCTAGTCTATAGTCTAGTCTATAGTCTAGTCTATAGTCTAGTCTATAGTCTAGTCTATAGTCTAGTCTATAGTCTAGTCTATAGTCTAGTCTATAGTCTAGTCTATAGTCTAGTCTATAGTCTAGTCTATAGTTTAGTCTAGTGTGTAGTCTAGTCTCGTCTAGTCTAGTGTATAGTCTAGTCTAGTACTATAGACTAGACTAGTCTATAGTCTAGTCCATAGTCTAGTCTATAGTCTAGTCTATAGTGTAGTCTATAGTCTAGTCTGTAGTGTAGTCTATAATCTAGTCTATAAACTAGTTTATAGTCTAGTCTATAGTCTAGTTTATAGACCAGTCTATAGTATAGTCTATATGCTGGTCTATAATCTAGTCTATAGTCCAGTCATTAGGGTAATATATAGACTATTCCATAGACTAGTCTATTTGTCTTATCTATAGTCTAGTCTATAGTTTCGTCTATAGTGTAGTCTATGGTCTTGTCTATAGCGTACTCCAAAGTCAATTCTAGAGTCTTGGCTATAGTCTTATCTATAGTATAGTCTATAATATTGTCTATAATCTAGTCTATGCTCTAACATATAGTTTAGTTTATAGGCTAGTATGTAGTCTAGTCTATAGTCTAGCTTAAAACTAAACATCATTTAATCCATTTAAAACTCTGTTTCCTTATAAGCATTTTCATTTCAAATCATGTCATTTACAATTCATGTTACATTCGTACTTCCTTGATGATAATGATGATTTTACTCTTATTTCTTGCATGAATAATTTAAATTTGATTTAAATAAGAAACAGCAACAACAACAATACAAAATACTTGAGTTGAAAATTACACAGCTTTTTAGAAATTTTTATCTCAAAAGAAGTAGGAAAAATGAAAAGTATGTACTTTAGTTTAAGATTATTTTAACAGCCTCCCTTGTACTACTACCCTCAACCCGCCCCAACATTTACTGCCTTTTCCCCAGGCTCCGTTTTATGTAAATTTGTATATGTGTGTGTGTGTTAGCTCCATCTTCCATCTCTTTTTCAAACCAAACATCAATCATTTATAGTACAATTGCAAAAATCTGGCCTTGTCCCTCAATCGTATGTGTAATAGGAATGATGTACAAAACAAAGTATTCATCTAAATCAGCTGAGCATGCTGTGGCAGCAGCAGCTCCAACAACTCTCTGCAGATAAGGTTAAACACACACACAACAAACTAGTGGAAATACTTAGCTAGGAGCTTGGAAATTTAAATAACATTAAAAATACAACTGTTTAGAAAAGTTTTCAGTTTTTTCTTTATTTCGTTTTGTATTTTTTTGTTTAACTTATCCTGGGCATTATTAGAGGGGTTGTTTGGAGGGAGTGGAGATGTAAGTTTTAGCTATAAAGGTATTTTTGGCTACCAAACAAAAGAGGTTTCTTTTTAGC